TGTGGTGTACCACAGGGTTCAATCTTTGGTCCTATTCTTTACTCCCCGTACATGCTCCTCCTCTGTTCTTAATTAGTTGATTTAGGTGTAATTCTTATCAATGTTATGGGGACGATACACAACTATACCTTTCCTTTAGCTCGAACAACCTTGGGAAACTCTCTACCCTGCAAGACTGCCTAACAGTTATTAAGGACAGGATGTCAGACAACCTTCTCCAATTTAACTCTGACCAAACAGAGGTCCTTATCATGGGCCCTGAGAGAACCTCTGGAAAAATTCAGCTGTGCATTAGTCCTCTAGCAGCAAATGTTAGGCAAGGCTAATGAAACTTTTTCTTTTATCAACACATGAACTTTGCGTGTCACATAAAGAAAATGATCCAATCTTGTTAAACTTAACAGGAAGTGGAACTATAAGAGGAACTGTCCTCTTCCACTTAAGAAACATAACCCAAATCATGTGTTATCCTTCCAAGATCTGGAAAAAGTCATTCAGGTTTTTGATTATTGTAATTCACTGTTCACCACCTTGAGTTGCTCTGCAGCGTCTCAGCTCCAATTGGTCGCGAATGCGGCTGCTTGACTTCTAACTAGCTTTATCATTACTTGCTTAGTTTACTTACTTGCTTAAAGTTTTCATTTATTCTTCTCCACAATCTTTCGCTAACCTTAACACAGTGCTTCTCCTGCATAAACCATAACCACCGACAGGACACAACCCTTAGATTGTGGTGTGACAGTTCTGCACGTCCATCATCCACCCCAACCACCTCCACGCAACTCCCAGATGGTACATTAATATAGTGTTTCAAATAACTTACCAGCAGTGGCTATAATGTAACTCATGAAATACAAAAGGTGACATCCTTAGAATTTGAATCATGAATGAATCATGACAACACAGAATAAACCCTGTGTTGTAAATGACAATTGAAAGACCCTGAATCCTTAAATAATATTTCAAGAAAAAAAATATATTACGAGAAAATTGAGCAGTT